GATTGGTATAATGAATATAAAAATATCTCTAAAACCAGTACTTTAAAGACAATTGCATATTGAAAAAATCAGTAACTACATCATTATAGTAGTCTACTGAAAGGCAGTATCACTGAAGATACACTAAGAATACCTAACATGTATTTGCTTATGACCTGGTAACATTACAGCCACAGGGATTAAAAGCCCTTAATGATGACCCATTTAGATGAGAGTAGCCTTGACCATAATTAGCTGCTTATTACAAGACAGGACTGGTGGGTTTCCTGGTCATTTTCCCTGTCTCCAGCTGCCTCACAGTCAACTCTTCGATTGATCTTCTAAAAATCCTGATTGTGCTTCTATTCAAATTTCTTTAGCAGCTCTCCATTTCTTATAGGTAAAAGATACACTATATATGACCTCCTCCCAGACTCATTGGAGTATATGCTTTTATTAACCTTTAACTATATGGTGATTATGATGAGGATCCCTAACAGTGTAATGTCTGTCTCTCCCAAAGACCAGGAATCCTTGAAGCCTACAGTAATATTTCCAATACTATACCTGGTACCAGGGAGATATTATTCAACAAATGTTTGCTAAGCAAAAGTATTAAAGTTCTAGGAAAAGAAACACATTCCTATGTTAATTCTAATTTCAATCTTTGTTCTTAGTTTTTTTCTCCAGGGTTTAAGACACACAATATAGATGAAAATGGGAAGAGAGAAGACAAAAGAAGAAATGATCATCTCCAAAACTGGAACTACAGACTGCAGTTTATATAGATGTCATAAGCCAACCCTGTGCATCGGCCTTGTCAAATGAGTAGGATCTCCCATGGGCTGGTCCTAACAGTGTGCCATCCCCTTGGCAGCAGGCATGAGATCATCAGGAGGAAGGGTCCTAATCTATCTAGGCCTTGTTACTGAGCCATGCCCCATAACAAATGTCAGCAATAATTGGCAAGCCATAGGGGACATCACTTTCATGATAAACAATAAAATAAAGCTAACCTCCAAAGACCACTTTGGACATGGCCTGAAATAAACAGACCAATTTAAAGATTGCCAGTGGTGTAGCAGCTGACAAACTCAATGCTTGCACAGCCTCATTGGTCATAACTGCTCCAAAAACAGAGACTATTTATTTGGGGGAAGTTATCTATGTAATTTGAATATTGTATCCTGTCAGCTAATTCTAGGATGTGGTAACTATTGCTACTTTTTTTTTTTCCAGTGATGGAAATTGAAATCAAATACCATGTACATGCCAAGCAAGCTCTCTATCACAGAGCTACATCCTCAGGCCCTGGGAAACTATTTTTAAATGTGAATATAGCTAACTTAGGGATGCATGTCTATGATTTCTTTTAAATAGAAATAATTACAATTTTAGGAAGTATAACAAATGCTCAAACAAATGTTCAAAGCTATTAACTTCAGTCGTTGATTTTTTTTAAAAAAGCCTCAGATAACAGAGAAGGGGGTTATAATTAACCAACAAGAAGGGATAAGGGGGAAGGGAATGGGGGAATGGATACAATGAAAATATATGCTTTGAAACTATTGTATTATAAAATTAATATGCACTAATACAGATATATTTTAAAAATCCAGATAACCAAAAATTGAACAGTTCTTTTATCTTTGGTTCAAATAATTAGTTCTACAGTATCTGAAGTAATGTCACTCAATTATTTGTTGAGTAAATGAATGAATAATAAAGTACTCTTAAGAATGATTTTTTAAGGCTGGCATTTATAATAATATTACTCCATAATTATAACATCAAGGCCAGTATTGTAATGATATTCTTTTATGTTATCTCCACCACTTAAAATTTAACAGTGAAACTCAATATACTGCCAAAACAACTTCTGGAGACAGGATATTTTTTTTTTGTTTTGTTTTCATTGTTTGAAGAGTACAGTATTAAGACATGGTCAAAGTAAGAAAAATGGGAAACATACAGTTTCTTGAGGGACATACAGAAAGGAAATAGGGGCAAGGTTTAGGTAATTGCTTAATTAGAAAAGTTATAGATAAAATCCCATATGGGGAGGACAAGCCAGCTGATTAGTGGTACACATAAACTGCATTTGAACTTTTTCATGAGTATAGCAGATTTTGCTCATCTGGCAATCTTCAAGTCAACTGTAACAGTCATTTTTAGCTAATTAATTCAAACAGATTCTTAGCACTTCACGTGTGTTTTATATAATGTGATAAATTGTAGGAATACAGAAAGAGAAGTAAGCCAAAAACCTGTCAAGTAAAGGGAGACTTGATAGATCTTTTTAAAAAGCAATGTATGGAATACTCAGTTACAAAATGAATGAAGGAGAGCTAATGTTACCAACTTATTTCTAGCAGAGTAGATTCATTGCATGTTCCTGATTTTAGCAGGCTGATGAAGTAGCAAGGTGTGTCACATAAAACACAATGACTAATTTTTCTACCAGATACTTTGAGAAGAAAAAGTGACATCTAGAAGGCATATCTAGACATCTCACTATATGGGAGAAACGGTGAAGGTTTGATAATAAAAAAAAAACAACCTATTGCTTCTCTGGGAAATCACAGTGGTGTCAGACAGTTTCTAAAATCCAGTTTGGGGAGGATTAAAGTATTATAAGTTAGAGTTCATTTTGCGATCTCATGTGGCCATCACTCAGAGCAGTCATCCATCACTTTGTAAGGGGTGGCCTTCTAAGAGAGTTCCAAGCTGCCTGAGGACCAGTATGACTTTTGTGCAATTCAGAGGGACGATACATGTCTTTCTCTAAAGCAGTGCTGCCCAAAAGAACTTAAGGGACATGAAATGTCCTACAGGTTCACGGCCCAACACAGCAGTTACCAACCAGGTAGATCTGTTGGGTACCTGAAATGTTGTGAGCCTTGGGAAATGAAGACTTATTTATAATTTAATAAATTTAAATAGCCAGATGTGGCTGGTAGATATTGCTTAGGATAGCACAGCTCTAAAATCTAATAATCCAATTATGAACAAAATAAGGTTTACTTTATTTGTGTTGAGGACAAGAAAAATGACATGTGATGAGCCCTGGAGCATGGCCGCTATAGGCAGGTATGCAGCTGCCCAAGTCAGGAGCCCCCGCGGTGGGCCTGGTGCACCACAGCCCTTGCTCCCTCACTCTGTGGGGAGAAACTGCCTAAGGATCCAACCTACCCAAACGCAAGTTCTTAAAGAGGATGTTCAAGACCTATTCCAGCCAAGATGGTTTTTTGTTGGTTTAAAAGTAGTTTTCAGGAAAAAAAAATAGTTTTTAGAACTATATAAGAAATATGGAAGTTAGAAAACAAATCCAAACCATGCCCCTTTGTTCTGCTATGATGATGGACATAAGAGGCTGCACCTGGACTTTGCTGCTATCTCTCATCTCCCCTCCAGCTCTACGTAGCCACTTTGGGGTCCTATAGCCTGTTTTGTGTTTCATACCTTCAGTCATCGGTTGAACAGGGAGCCTACAGCTTTTTGGATTTATATTTTGTTGTTCTGCTTATTCAACATCATCTAATAAACATTTTTCATCCTGGTTATCAAGTCCAACATATTTAAAGGGGAAAGAAAGGTATATTTTTTGGGGGGGGGAATAAAAATGTTTCACAATTATTAAACACTTCTATGTACAAATTACAGTGCTACCTCAGTTTACAAACTTAATTTGTTCTATGACTTTGGAAAAAATGGTCACATTTGTGTGTAGAAAAGAGCTATGGTGGTGCTTGTCACCCAAAGCAAAGTTTGCAAGCAAAAACAAAACTTTACCAAAAAACATTTGTTTTTGGAGACAGTGTTTGGCTATGTACCCCAAGCTGGCCTTGAACTCATGGTGACCCTTCTATCTCAGCCTCCCAAGCACTGGGGGTTATAGGTATGTGCCACCATGATTGACCTTGTTTAAGAACCAAACTGCAAAGAAGAGCATTTGTGACCCGAGATATCACTGTACTTCCTCCACCACCAGTCTTACAAAGCAGAAGCTACTGTCCCCTCTTTTCAGAGGAAGAAAGAGCTCTGAGCTTTTTAAAGCAGCCCGCAACCATACAGGTGGTCAGGGAGATGGCTGTGACAGGAACCTGACTCTCCAAACTCCTCACCTAGCTTTTTTCTTGCTATGCTACATTGTCCTAAGTCCAGTTTACAGTGTAATTTTCAGAAATAAATGCCACAGTTTTAGTCTTTTCCATATCTGTCTTCCCATTCCTTACATTATTAACAAACAAACAAACAAACAAACAAAAAGGGCAAACTGACTTTTATGGAATGATTCTGGACTGTGTAAAATATTAAAAAGAAAAAAAAGGATGTAAGCGCCTGTCCGGAAAGCATAAGGTCATGAGTTTGATCCCTGGTAGCAAAAATAAAATAAAATAAAATAAAATAAAATAAAATAAAATAAAATAAAATAGTTCCAAATGACACCTCAAGTATTTGTTCCATTTGGAAAAAAACAAAATGAAAAAAAAATTTTTTTTTTTTAGTCTTTTCCCTTTTTATCGGTACCAGGGATCAAACTTACGACTGCCTGCTTGCAAGGTGGCGCTTTATGCCGCTGAGCTAAATCCCCAGCCCCACAAAATGAAAAAATTTTAAAAGTCAATCCTCCAAGACCTTAGTTTGCAGAACTAATGGAATTGCTATTACTTTTGCAAAGAAGCAACTAGCCATGCATTAAACCTTGTGGGATCAAGTTCATAGCCATTTAAGCACTTAAGGATGACTGGACAATACATGGGCATCATGCAGCTTCAAAATGAACTAGGTAGAAGAAAGCAATCCTTAATAGGGCATCTGTAACCTTGTATTTTTATACTCTAACCATAATTTAAAAATATTCAATTTTGTGTCTGAAAGATGACTTAAATTTTATAATTCCAGTAGTCCAACTTTTGTTCCACAGAGCAATGAAAACCATCTCTCTTGGAAAACAGAACATTTGTCTACTGCGTAAAAAGGTGAAGTTTATATACCACTTATATGACACCTGTACTTACCTAGATTGCTGTATGTTGCACTACAGGGGTTCAGGTCCACAGGCTCTGAAGTATCTTCTTTTTCCTCTTCTCTTTCTGGGTCAAGTGGTGGCAGTGCTGGTGAGATGGAAGTGCAGCCCCCTCCATCTTGCTTTGCAGGAGGTCTTAGATCCCGATGAGAAAATTTTTCCACCAATTCATGGGTCACATGACTGTAACAAATCAGACAACCTGTCACACCGGTATTTAAAAGGTCAGCTAAAATTCAGCAAGAGATATACTTTCCATAAAGGTTAACTGGTCCTGTCATTACAACAATGGGTCTTAAGGCCCAACACACTTGTTACTTCTGTGTACAAGGAATACTTGCACTAAGATGAGACTTCATTTTCCTTGATTTATAACACACATACTCAGTTTGGCAGTGGGGGTATGGTAGGTTAAAGGGAACATGGGAACAACAGGCAAGGAGTGGAACAATTGTTTTCTTAGGTGGTGACAGTGAGGCAGAGGGTGCTGAATGTTTATCTGGTTAAAGACTCAATATTAGTAAAGCATTTGGCAGGGACTGGGGATTTAGCTCAGTGGTGTAAGCACCTGCCTGGCAGGTGTGAGGTCATGAGTTCGAAGCCTGGTACAAAAAAAAAATTCAGTAAAGCATCTGGCATACTTACTATTTGATGTTTATTGTACTAGATGATGATACTCTAATACTATATTAAATAATACTTTACTACATAGTATTTCTTTAGTATATAATATTTACTACACACTAAAATATCTGTCAAATTATTTAGCAAAGGGGCTGGGGATTTAGCTCAGCGGCATAAGTGCCTTCCTTTCAAGTGTGCAGTTGTGAGTTCGATCCCTGGTACCAATAAAAACGAAAAAGACAAAAAAAAAAAAAAAAAAAAAAAAAAGAAAAAAAAGAAAAAAATTATTTAGCAAAGGATGAGGAATAAAGTTAAAATTAGATTATTTAGATAATGAAATTAAGTAACTGTTTGGCATGTATCCTGAGGCCAGGATGATCTTACTGTCAGGAGGACAGAGTATCAAGCTTTGATGTATACGTGCAGCAAATAGGACAGAAAGTTCTACATTCTGCTAACCTGGTAAAATGAATCTGCAGCATCATTCTAGTCACAAATCAGTGAATGGTCACAGTGGTTTTGTATTCTCTGCTAACCTACTCACAGCTACCTCTTCCCATTTTCCAGCTTGCAGGAACTGTGCTAATTCTGTCACTATGATGTAAAAAGGAATTTAATGGTCATTAAAAGTTAGTACAGGAAACCAGACCAGTTAGAAAAATATCAATGGGGTGATCAGGCATTTTTACGTTTTCTGAGTTACTGAAAAATATTCCTAGGCTATCACACACACATCAGCTCTTCTTCCCAATTTCTTTAGAGGCAAAGAGAAGGGAAGGAAACACACTATTACAATTAGCAGTGAGTCATGGTAACATTTATAAGTTTCTTTAAAAGAGGGTTCTTTGTTTGACCATGTATCATCAGAACATATGCTGCATGCAGATTCAAAGGAGCAATCTTTCATTATGAAAATTATGCATATGTCTAGACAGAAAAATAAGTCTGGGTGCCTGTACCACCAGCACTTGGGAGGCTGAAACAGGAGGATTGTTGTGAATTTGAGACCAGCCTGGGCTACAAAGTGAGCTCAAGGCCAGCTTGAACTGCATTGTGAGACCCTATCTCAGACAAAAAGTCTTGAAATCTGGATGTACAACTTAAAAACTAGAAGAGCCATCGGTCTCTTTATACCAAGCAGTGTGCGATGAACTGGAAGTTCTAATACGAGATCCAATTCTTGGGGACAGTGAGATGGGAAGAAGCTGCTCCACTGACAGTCAACCATGTAGTCTGTATGAAGGAGGCCATGCACAGTGACGCATGGTGCTGCTTCTCAAAGTGCTGCCTCACTGACACAGAAGAGAGGCTCCACACAAAACTGGTTTCTCATCATAGGAGACATCATAAAAATCAAGGTAATAAGGGGGATCTACTTTAATGCATCAGCAAAGGCAAAGCAAAATGACACTTCCAAGACACTCAGGCACACAATGTCAAGACTATATCACTGTGTAGTTATAAACACACTTTAGGAGACTGAAAATGTTCTTTGTTGGGCAAAGGTTAATATAAGTCATTTCTAATTTCAAAGCAATAAACAAAAATACCAGCTCTCCTTTGAAAGGAAAAATGTTAAAGTTCCTGATATTCTCTTTGACTTTTGGAATTAGATATAGAGATTTCTTAAAAAGCTGTTTGGGGGCTTCTAATTGCTGTAACATGCCCATTTCCTTTATTTTTCCAACCTTTGGTCTTACCAAGAGAAAGTTCTCTCCATTTGTCAAAAAGGATTGGTGAAGGGCTCAGGAGCTGGGCCTCCATCCTCACCTTTCTGTTTTCCTGCCAGACCTGTAAGTTCTGCAACTGTAAAAACTTCTGGAAAAGCTGCTATTAACCTATGAGGAAGTCTCTGGGCCTGCTCTGCATACATGTAACAATAACTTTGTGCCTACGAAACAAAACATAGATGCTAAAAAACAATAGCAAAAACTCACCCACTGTACTCACTCACGCAATTCCCCATTAAAGGAAATTTTCACAGGGTCTTCTTGAGTCTGTTAATCATTTTCTGAAACTCTGATAAACCAGAGTCCACTGGAAAGCTACACACCAGACAAGCTATAAGAAGAGGCTCAAATTCTGCACCTTAGTAACATCCACTGCACCTTGACCTTTACCTTAGGGGTTGGTCTGGGAAATGTGCCAAATTACCTCTGGGGAGCCAAGTGAAAGGAAAGCCAGCCAGTTTTATTAACTCTTTGAGGCCAGGGTAGCACAGCTCACATTCTAGATAAAGACTAGTTTTCATACATACATGCTAAATGAATGCACAGGTACATTAGGTCACCAATTAAAATATCGGTGTTTCCTAGACATAAAATCAGAAGATCCTCCCAAATGCTAAAATGATAATTTACAAACACGACCTCTATCTCCTAACAAAATGTTTTACTACCAACCTACATTTCAGTGGGAAATGTTTAATGTAATGAAGAAAGCATAAAAAATGGGAAAATACTAAAAATGGGTTTTAGTACTGGTTTAAAAATGGGAAACATTAAAAATGGCTTTTATTTCTCTATTACTTTATTCTTCTGGACAAACTTGACCTATCAGGAAGGAGATAATGGAGAAATTAAACATTTCCCCACTCCATCTGTGAGACAGATGATAAAAAATTTCTTTAAAATGATAATTACTAGATATCCGCAAGACTTTCTTGTACATGTTGAAATAGTAAAATAGTGTCCAAGGTAACTAGATATTCCCATAAGTAAATTTGACATTCATTACTATAACACAGAGCAGTTATATGATAAATGGCCCACAAAAGGAAGTTGTGGCTTTTATATTTCGGCTGCTTAAATTCATTGTTGAAACAATTCCTTGTCTTGCAATGCAAGGCAAAATGTGTTAACAACTACAGTGTTCAGGCTGGGTCAAACCTTGACTTAGCCTACTCTCCGTCCTAGATCCTCGGTTATCATTCTGCTTTCATAATGGAGGACACATGTTTGATTATACAGTCAGCCCTCTGCATCTTTGTGTTCTGCATCCTTGGATTTAACTACCTGTAGCCTGAGGACATTTGGGAGATAAACTGAGTCTCTATTGAATATTTATGGGTTTTCTTCTATCATTCCTTAAACAAAGTAGTATAATGTGATTCACATAGCACCTACATTTTATTAGGTTATTATAAGTAGTCTAGGGAAGATTTAAAATCCAAAAGAGGGTGGCTGTAGGGTATACATGAACATGACACCACTTTACATAGGGAAAGTCTGGTATTCAAAGGAGTTCTGAAATCGAGCCCTAGAAAACACTGAGGACTGACTTTTAAACCCTTCCACCAACTTTTCATTAGTGACCAGTTTTTTTTGTTTTGTTTTTGTCTTTTTTTTTGAGATGGGGTCTCACTATGCAGTTCAGGCTGGCCTTGAGCTCATTTTGTAGCTCAGGCTGGTCTTGAACTCGCAACGATCCTCCCACCTCAGCCTCCTGGGTGCAGGGATTACAGGCGTGAGCCACCACGCCCGGCTTAGTGACCAGTTTTTAATTTCTATTTGGGGTGTCTGACCTGACACTTAAAATCATGTCATAAACTCCACAAAGACAGCTCATCTTCTGAACATGTGGAATAAATGTTAAGTGCTCAAAGAAAACAGTAACATTGTTACAGATTTGTTATATAAACAAATCCCTTGGCAGGTTCTATTTCATCAGTCTGCAATAGCCATACATAATTCAAAGCTGCAGAAGCAGATCTCCTATGGGAAGCTCACTAGGCTTACCCAGGTGGTAGGATTAATCATTACACCATCAGATGGAATAATCCTTTTCTTTTTTTTTCCTGGCGAATTTGTTTAAGACAGATTTTTGTAAAAATTCTGTTAAGTGTCTGAATGTACTTTTTAAAAAGGCAAATCAAATTCTACATTAGAACAGATAAAGGCCTTCAGGTATCCAAACATTTCAAATCAACTTTACCTTCAAATTCAACTACCTGCATCCAGCTTCAGAAAGAACAGTTAACAAAATCATTCTTCAGAGACCATCTGCTTGTTGGGAGAAATGGTAATCTTTCTTATAACATACCAGCTCCTTGCAGCAGGTACATGTGTCTCTGACTACCAAGGACCACCAATAAAGAAGAAATATGTGCTTTTAAAAACCACCTTTGACCCCTAAACATTGGACTAAAGTACATCAGAAATAAATTTTTATAGTTTTGGTACTGGTCCTCTGAGCTACATATTTCTGGATCTTTGTAGAAATGAGATCTACAGCAACATAGGAGAAGGACAGCTCAAAGTCATCAAACCCACACCTCTTGTACTCTGTTGGAAGGAAGGGGTGCAAAGATACTTTGTTTTCTTTTTTTGGCTCCCTCACTCTAGGACCCCCTAGGAATGTGACATTTCTTAATCCTACCTTGGTCACCAACTTGATTTTGCAACACTTTCTAATCACTGGCATTTCTTGAGTTGTAAAGTGTTGTGTCCACTGATCATTATCTAGTATCTCCAATTTGCCACTAAGCCTTTGTAGTCTTTGACTGAAAACCTTAACCTGCTTCCCCTGAACTGAGATTAACTTTTAATGGAATCTGATGA